TCCGCTGCTGCTTGATGTGTGAGGGCGAGAGAAGTGATGAGGCACCGGACACACCGGGCCGTGTCCCCCTGTCTGTCCAGGAGGGTCGACACAGGTCTTTAAATCAAACACGTGATCAAGTAGATAAACACACGTGTAATTGGCTTGGACCTTGTGAGGGACTGGGGGGGGGGGGAAGCAGATGATCCTCATGTGTGTGTATGGCAACAAGCTCCCACTGATGATGTCACCGGTGCCGAACAGTACATGTCATCGTGTTCGATTACGTCGTGTCGTGTTTCGGTCTCGCAGTTTCACCGGCGTGTCAGCAAACGTTAAATTGCCCGATTTTCCAATGGAGTTCGGCGTGGTGGACTCGGAGGCGATGACATCATTGCACGGGTTTTCCCTCAGCAAACGGATGCATTTATTTTCGTCGCCCCCCTCCCCTCCTCTTTACACCCCCCCCTGATTTCTGACCCTGCACGTACGAACCCATCGGGGTTGTTGTTATTGTGTCATTGACGTTCACGTGGAGCTCAACAGATGGAGCGTGTCTGCAGACCCGTGATGCTTCTCTGATGCTCGTGTGAGTGTGTGCAGGTTTCTCAGGAAGGCAGAGTCATCACAGGGGGGAGCAGGCAGCGTCCATCTCTGCTGAACACAGCTGATGCATTATTTGTGAAGCCTCTGTGTGTTTTTGCTGATGGGACGTCGCTCTCTGACATCATCTCCACTTAAGAGACAAAATTGAGTAATGTTTCTATTCTGGTCTGTTTTTTTTGTCTGCCATCGTCTGCCTGACTCCGTTGTCTGATTTCTAACGTTGTTACAACACCATTGAGCATGACAGCTCTATTCTTCTGTCGTAACCTCGCGTTAGCACTAATGACTCCACACTGCGATTATCCTCATGTTTCCATTGAAACAGACAACGAGGCAATTTACGCAGATTTCATTTAGCAGTAATACAACCTGATCTGTGCTCTGATCCTTGCCTTAAGGCCACGCTGGTGAATCTCCCACGTGGCCGTGTGTTTCTGTTGTAATGATCTACTATGCTGACATTAAAGAGAGACGGTTCAGATTAGATTATTCGGCCTGTGTCCTACGTTGCTTTCGGGCTTCGCTGTAATTGGGTTACGCAGGCACATTTTCTCCTGATCCCTATCCATTGCACGGGCCAGTATCTCAGTTCATCTCGTCGCCTGTGTCCTTCCCTGTTTCCTCACCACTAATCCCTTCTTTTCCCTTGTGATTGTCCGGATTCTGCAATGGGCCAGGAAAGCATGGATATTTAATGATGAAGTTTTGACAAGATTATGACTGGACGTGGAGGTTCTGAATTATCAAGGAAATTTTGGAAACTTTCTGGAGAGGTCAGATACTTCTGCAGTGATTTCTACACAGAAACAACCTCACCAAACAAGGGACACAAGTTGTTGCCTGTTTATCACCCTTCAGACCTCTTCATGGTCGTAAGAGTCATTGAGGGTTCTTGTGCTAAGAGCTAATGTCAGTTGTTAAGAGACCTGTGCAGATGTCTCTCATCTACTGGTGAGAAAGTAAAATGCAGTGGAACACTCTCCAAATAGTAATGCTGTGGGACACAATTTCCTATTCTGCAAAATTATGACAATATCTCTCAGTTAATCATCTGTTTTGCCAATTTCTGGGTAAACAGCAGAATTACACAGTTACACGATTAACAGAAATCTACAGAGAATAAGGGCTTGAACCTATTTTTTTGACAAATGTCAGGACTTGCATTGCCAAGTTTAACATTCTTGTTGGAGAAACCTGGACATTTTGTGGCAGAGTTCTCAGATTCAAAGTTCTGTTGTATCAAGTGTTGTTGTTGTTTTTACAGCCAAAGCCTGATATTCTTTTTCTGTTTTCTCTCCCTTCAGACACAGAGAGCTTGGTCAATGGGAATCACCAGTCCAGTCCCGCCAAGTCGCCCCGAGCTCCTGGAGAGAGAATCCAGTCTGAGCACAGTGCAATCGTCAGCTCCATTGAGAAGGACCTCCAGGACATCATGGACTCCCTAGTCATGGATGACCCTCAGTCTTCTTCCTTGGAGGCCAAAAAGCCTCCTGGAGGCCAATCGATTCCTCACTCTCCTCTGTCACCCATGGTTAATGGAGGAGGCCGGTATCTGCTGTCCCCTCCTACCAGCCCGGGGGCCATGTCTGTGGGGTCCAGCTATGAGAATACATCCCCTCCCTTTTCCCCCCTCTCCTCACCCTCAGCAGCCAGCAGTGGGAGCTTTACCAGCCCCTCTCCTAGTGGAGGACCCCAGGACCAGAGTTCTTCTCTGCCACCAGTGCCTGTACGCTCCTCTAGCTACAATTTCACCTCCCAGCCTCCACCTTTACCCCAGCCACGGACCATTTTGCCTAACTTCAGCAGCGGTGGTGCTGGTCAGAAGGTTCAGGAAAGCCCCAGGCTGCAGAGGAAGTTCCTGGCAGAAGCTCCTCCAAGCCCCAAGCCAAGCCGCAGGGGACTAGGCCAAGATGGTTCTGAAAGCCCTCGACAGACGTCCCTACTGTCCTCCAGTGAATCTCTTAATAGTAGAACCATGGTGCCAAGTAGCCCAAGACTCACTCCCAAATTCCCTACTTCTTTGTCTCCATCTCCCTCCAGTCCCAGGACCAAGTCAACCACAGTGCTCCATGAAAGACCTTCCAGTCCCTTCAGAGAGCAGACCACTCTAGCTGATCGCTCCCTCACCTCTAGCCCTTCCAGGCAGCTTTCCCAACCCATCAGAGCCTTCCAGCCTCCTTTGGACCCCATTGTGCATGTCATCCAAGGATCGCCACTGCAGCAACATCCACGTTCACTGCAGCCCCCTGAAAGCCCTCGCATGGCCAGGAGGAACCTGGAGCTGAATGGTGGGAGTGGAGCAAGCAGCACTATGCGAGAGCTGCCTCCTCTTAGCCCCTCCATGGCACGGAGAGGGGTCCCAGTACTCCCGGGAGCGCTACCAGGGACAATCCCTACCTTGAAGACCCCAGATAGTCCCTCAAGTCTTTGCAAGCTTGTCCCAGAGAGTCCAAGGCTCAGACGAAAGACTGGATCTACATCTGAGGAGCAGATGTGCAGCAGGGGGATCAGAGCCCGCACTCCGTCACCCACCTCTATGATGATGGAGGGCAGTGGTAGTTGTGGGGGGGTACGGAAGGGGAGTGTTGGGAATACCCTGTCTCCTGCTTACAGTCTGGGCTCCCTGCCTGGCTCGTCCCCTGCCGCCAGTCCCAGGACCCATAGGAAGATGTCTGCAGGGAGACCCCACCCTGGGATGAGGGAGAGGAAGAACAGCATCACTGAAATCAGCGACAATGAGGATGAGCTGTTGGAGTACCACCGACGACAGAGAGAGGAGAGGCTTCGAGAGCAGGAAATGGAGAGACTGGTGAGTCAAGATCACTTGTCAGGATGAAATTACTGTAATTCAGTTTAAGAATAATTCTTAACATCTCTTTACAGGTTAAAGTAAGTTAGCTTAATACTTCAATTCATTTCTGTAGCTGATCTTAAAGCGTTTTTACTCATTATTATTTGACACTTTACTCGTGTTTTACTACTTTGTCACACTGCATCTATCTTGGCTATTATCTACTTGATACCAAACCTTAATGCACAATATAAAAGTTATTCTGTGACAGATAAGGAACTATTGAAATTAGTTTTTTTATACTCAACATGATGGAGCCCAAGGTAAAAAACCTAATTTTGTCCAATCAACACTCTAAATGAACCCAGTTAATCTTTGATTAGGGGAAGTATTCTGTGTGTGCCAGCCGTCTGAGGGTGTTTAGTATTTATAATTACAGTAACCACAATCTCTGCATTGTTCCTTTGAGCAAGGCACTGAGCCCCTAAATCGTTGTGGTTGATTATTTGAAACACATCTAAAGAAGTTAACTAGAATGATTATCACCTGAAGAATTTCTGTTTGCGATTAAATGTCGCTGGTCTGGCTCTAATCTGTCTGACCTCCTAGAGGAAGGGAGTGTAAGGCTTTCAGTTATCTCCATCGAGATAGTGTTTGAGCCTGGTTACTCCTCCTTTTCCAAACAAACATGAACTGTCTGCAACTTGGCTGTTGTCTGTCTAAACTGCTGCTGACATGCGGTCCCAGGGCGCCAGATGAGCCCATAGCAACCGCATTGTTTGTTGTTTCCTAAACTGAACAGAGGGGGTGGGGAGCGGCGGTAGACATCTTGAACTTGTCTGCCAGTCTGAATGAAACAGCAGAGACAAAGTCCTTTAAAAAGCCTTTACATGCGTTTGTGCTTGTGTGAGTAGGCGTCTGCCCGCCCTGCTTGTAATTACAAAGTGTGAGACTGAGTGAAGGCAGCTCGGTTGGATAGACTGAGACGTCTTGCCCTCTATCTCTATGTACCAGGTCATGTACTGGTACCTCCTATAGAGGCTTGGCAGCGCTGCATTCATACACAGAGACTGTTTAACCCTTGATAGTGAAGAGGGCTGAGGAATTTACTGCAAGGCCAGTGAGAGAGAGCTACAAACATTAGTCAGATCAAGACACACATGATTTCTCATTTGACTGCAACAGTTTGCACATTGACATTTTAATACTATTTAGATGCTAGTCAGTGTTACTTGTTAGATTCTCTCCTCACCGTGGATCGGTTCCTGTATGATTCTAGGCACTGCACTGCACTGCTGGTTCATGATGGTCCGATTTCTGATTGAATGAATCGGCAGGTGTTCCTATAATAAGTTCTCAATGAGTGTGAATGTCTGGACTGCAATGGACTGAAATGCATGAAAGACCATCTACCTTACTCCATATGTTTCTGACTCATCTATGAATATCTAAACACATGAAACATAAAAAAACTAGTATAGCTTTAGGATTCCATCATATTAAATCATTTAACATAACTGCAATGACACTACAACTCCACCACCTATGCCAAGAGTCCCAAAGAGAACATCTAACATGTTCACACTCAAATTCTCAGTCGTTAAACACAAAGTTGATGGAGCATCCTAACACAGACAAGTTAGCTCTCAGTTTTTAGATGATATGTCGCTTGTTGGACTTATTTAGTTTAGAGCCAACTCTGAGTGAACATTCAAAAAGTTATACCCAGCAGTGTGCACTAGGTTGGGTGATGTGCTCACAGGTAGTGTGTCTCCCAGGACAATGGATTCATCCTGAAAATGTCGCACCTTTCTCCTGAAGAATGTGACACAGGCGATTTTTCAACAATTCATCTTTACTGCACATAGAAGCCGTCACTTACGTTTGTCTGTCAGACTTCAAATCTTTTGTTCCCATTGTCTTTAGTCACAACAACCTTTGGACTGGTACAACAAAGGCCGGACAAAGGATAATATTTGCTTTAGATTTGTAAAGCTCACGGACTACAAGGTCAGAGATACATTTGTATGAAGTAAATAAGACTCACAGGGACAAGCAGCCCGAGAAACAAGATTCCTCCGCAGCCTGTTATGTTATTGTAGTTTCCGAGTGCAGAAACTCGGGCGTGGAGCTGCAGGGCCTGTAATTAGTCACAGTTGATTCACTGTCATGACGGATTTTTCTTGTCCCGGGGCGTCTGCGTTTAAAGCGCTTCACACACAGCCTGCTTACCAGAAAACAAAGTTATGAGTTCTAAGAGAAGTTTGCTCAGTGAAAAGACTCTTATTGTGAAATCAACAGGAGTACACAGCTCAGAGGCAGCAGGAGGCTACAGCGACTCTCTTCCACACATACACTGATGTCTCAGCCTGTTGTTACACTTTGAATGGGTTGTAGCATGTTGGTGTTGTTTAAATGCAGTTTAATAACACTGTATGATACCCCACACCCTAATAACGAATAATCCTGAAATACTTCTTGTGAAGTGCATAGCGGCAGCCTCACTGCAGGCGTATTGTGGGTGAAATATTAGTAATAAGTTAATCATCTAGTTAAATTATATTTGAATGTGCATCCTCATATTTTGTGTTTATATTTATTTAGATGCTTAGTTCTAAAACTACCACATGTTCAAAACCCAGAATGGGACATGATGATATTAAGACAGGTACTTTTTACTGGCTGGTAAATTATTCTGTGATGCACTTTTTGTTGAGTTTTGTTGTCAGCACAATGTGGATAAAGTTTTCTTTGACTCCAGGAGTGTGATGCTATGATGCAGCTCCTTCTAAAGGACGTCCCCTGAACTCTTTAATAGGCCTGTGCAACTGATTCTGAATCTGTCCACAATTTTTATTCTATTCAAAGTTAAAACTATTTTCAAATGTTTTTTCAATTCCACACCAATTAATTTCTTCTAACTGCATTTCTCATGTGACTATTTTGGTTTAATCATTATTGAATGATAACGCCTGCATTCACAGTTTCAGCTGGCTGAAGGAATAATATAATATAATATAATATAATATAATATAATATAATATAATATAATTCAGACCCAGCTAATTCAGGTCAGCAGCGTGGGAACATTTTTAGTTTTTGGTTCGGTCAGTTTTGAACCCTCCTCTCATTGGTCCCCCAGTTTCATGGTGTCACTGAACTAAATTCATGCGACATTGTGACTGGATTTCACACAATATATTATTATCCTGTGTCTCCCTCAATTTGTCATGCTTTTTTCCACAGGAGACTTTTGACGAGAAATAGGTGGCAGGCCAAACACTTACTTGTTGAGAAAGAGGATGTGGATGATGTGGGCATTATCATTTAAAAAGATCACCCCTCCTAATATCAGTAGGAGTTTAACGACAGTGAAAACTCATTAAACATCTTTTAATTCAGCTCATGTTCATGTTTGGAGCACTGGGGCCAAGTCCACTCTAATGACCCGTCTGCAGGGAAAGACCGTTTTCCTGAGTCTATCTGATCCAAGCTGTCCGACCTGGCACTCCTCTCTCCCCTCGGGCCACCTGACTGACACGCTGTCTTGCCAAACACACTTGGCATATGAAGCGAGTCGCAGCGTGCTTCGTCTGTGGCAGACACTCGTCCCCGGTCCACTGTTCGCGAAAGATGACCTCATCTTTCCGGTGACGTTAGGCAAGAGGACACCATTGTTTTAATGAGCGCTCACTTTTTGGAAGAGACTGGATCAATGCTCTGCTGTTTTAAAATGACACAGACACTGTTGCATGTAACCAGATATTTTGGTGGCTAAAAAGCCTTGAAGCTTCTTTTACACAAAATCACGAAGAAGCTAGAACACTGGATTTGTTTTCCGTCTCGGAGGATGAAAAACTCCTGATCGATTTCCACTGAAATTAGCCAACTTGACTTTTAGTGTGATGACGGGGGGGGGGCTGCCTGAGTCCTGTGGAGAAGGAGATCTGTTGTTGCAGTCCCTACTGGTTTCTGTGAAGAGATTGGTAAAGGTCACAGTTTGCTTACTGAATATTTAATAAAGGCCTCGAAGGTTTTTCAAATCAGAAACATATCTCTCTGGATTCAAGGGATTTATTTTCAGGGAACTCCTCTTGACATATCATGGTTGGAGCTCCAGCTCTGAATATATTTCCTCAGGCAAACTCTTTTAAATTTAAGAAGTTGGCCTTAATTAACCATCTGAACCAGTCTGCTCTGTCTCCTCCATCTTCTCTTCCGTCACAAACGTTGCCATGCAGAAAAGTTGCTCCTGCATTGTTGGCATCTTTGCCGCTGTTCGCGAGGATTAACGGCCCAAATATACCTTCGCACTTGTCAAACAGAGCACCACACATGTTTACCAGCATCTTGTAGAAACAAATATATCCAGCTCCTGTGGGACACCAGACCTGCCCACCTAAACAGCCAAATATATCCTGCACCTACACTGACACACTGCTGCACAAACCCACTGACCAGAGGGTGCGACTTTAGTCATGCTGGAGAAGTGGCCTATTCGATTTGTAATGAAGGAAGAAGAACAAGCAAATAAATGTTTGGACTCCTGGATCAACCCCCCCCCCCCTGCATGTTTGTGTTTAAATCGTCGATTGGGTGTCGGGAGGCAGATTACTGTGATTTTGAATGTTTTGGTTGAAAACTTGAAGAGAGAGACGAGTTTGGACAGATAAGACAGTTAGGTCGACTCTGTGGCTCTTTATCTGGGACAGCAGCAGTAAATCTGTTTCTGTGCCCGTCCAAAGGAAAGCTGCACTAATCCAGTCTTGAAACAGCACCAACAAATATGCCACGTGTGGATTTTGAAGACAGGACACATCATGTCACTTGATGCAATGTTGAGTTTATACTTCCAATATCGTTGTTTTTTAACTGGTCATCAGTTAATGATGATGTTTCAGACACGTCCTTTTTTGTAGAACTACAAATATCTGTCAGAGCTGCAGCAGGTGCTTCCTGCTGTTTTTTGCCCTCTCCACTAGAGGGGGTCATTTAACTGTTCAGGACTACAGTGAAGT